CTCACTCGCTCTGTCCGCTCTGGTGGGCACTCCCTGGCCGGCCGCGTTCCCCGCTCGGCCCGTGTGCACCTGCTCTGATGGGTTTTGTTTGCTGTGTGTCATCTGTCCCCATCCTTGCCAGGACGTAAGTGCCCAGGCCAAGGCTCCGTGTGTGTGTGTGTGTGTGTGTGTGTGTTGCTCTCGGGCGCAAGCTAAGGGTCTGAGCATGACAATGGCTCAGTGTCGTTGAAAGGACAGCTCACCACCTACCACTCTGGCGGCATTGTAGTTCTTGGGGTTCTGCTCCCCACTCCCCATTGGAAGCAGGACTCACTGAACCAGGGACTTGTCTCTGGACCTTTGCATATTCCGTCCCCCCTAAGAGGAGGGTTCTCCCCTGCTGTTCCCTGTTCCCCCCGCATCTGCCGGCCAATTCCTATGGGTTCCTCAGGTGCTATCTTGGTGCCCCCACCTCTAGGACACCTCTGGGACCCGAGCACTGAACTCCCCGGGCCCTGGGGGGCACCGTGTTCTCGCTCCATCTCCTCCGGGCGTGTGTCACTGTGGGGGAGGCGGGGTCCCCTTCCCTCATGCATCTGCTTCCTCGACTGTCGGAGCATGAAGGGGGGGCTCAGAGTCTCGCTCAGAGTCGCACCCGCACAGCGGTTGGACAGAGAGCAGCTGCTGAGTCAGTTTTGGCCGACATTTCGGGCCGTCTGAGGTCAGGTCGAGGAAACACGGAACATTTCCTGCGGGGCGGCAGGCTCACGAGCGTGCCGGGCGCACCCCAAACGCAAACGTCTCCCCGCCAGGGTTCTTCGCCCACAAGGTGGAGCACGAAAGCAGGACGCAGTCTGGGCGCAGCTTCCAGAGGACAGGAACGCTGGCCTTCGAGCGGGTCTACACTGCCAAGTGAGTCCAAACCCTGCGCCTGCTGGTCATCGGGGCGGGCACAGGGGCCTCCCTGCCTAGTGACGCGCGTCCGTCCGGACCAGCCTCCGGGATGCGGGGGGCGGGTTCCCAGGAGCTGCTGGACACCCCTCACCATCTTAGCAGGTGCCAGCGCTGGAGGAAGAGGACCCCAAGGAAGGGGGTGGGACCCCCACACCCCCCTCGCTCCTGAAACCCAGCAGCGGCCTGGCCCTCATCGCCCCTGAGGTCCCCTTGCGGGCAGTCTGAGGGTGACACTGTCCACTTCCTAATGCCGCTCGGGACGAGGGTGCCGGTGGACGTCACGCGAACCTTCATCTTCCCTCCATGCGGAAAGCATTTAAATAGAGGCTCCACCACCGGTGCGACCCCTGCCCCTCTGTGCCTGTGCCCCCAGGCCTGTCGGAATGGGGGTCTTCGGCTGTGAGCTGCTGATGGGCCTTAGGCTCGGCTCGGAGGTGGCTGACGTCCCCAGGGACGCTTCCGAGGGAGGAGTCGTGGCCCCCACAGAACGGAGTTTTAGAGTATCAGCAACAGCTCAGACACAGGGCCAGGAGTCCCCTGAGGACTGGGGGCTCCGTGGTAACGTCCAGGGAGAAGGTGCCACCCGCTGGGGACCGACCTCGCCTGTGAACTGAAGTGGCTTCAAGGGCTCTCCACGGTGCGGGCCTTCGTGACTGTCCCCGACACGCTTTCTCGGCTGCCCTTTGCCCCACTCAGCTACTTGTCAGTTGCTTTAAGCGCGGCCCGGGCATGGGGGAGCCGGGGGGTGGTGCCCCTTTTCCTCACTGGCCCCCGTTTCTCGCCCAGCTTCTAAACTCCTGTGTACGCAGTCTGAGCCACTCACAGACACGTTTGTAGGGCCCTGCCAGGCTAACTTCCCGGTCTCCGCCACCACGTGTCCCCGGTCCCACCCCCCATGCCCAGCGCTCCAGTGTGGCTTGTCCTGTATTCTGATCTCAAAGGCACCCCTCACTGAACCGCCCACAGGGGGGATTCTGTCACTGTGGGGGCCTCAGCATCTCGGTCCTCAGCATCAGATTAACCCACTTACACCGACCCACTCAGAGGAGGGCAGGGAACTCGTGTAAGGTGCCATCGGCCACATGCAGGGGGAGAGGCGAGGGCCCCTCCGGGCACGGCGTGGGGCAGCTGTAAGGATGGCGTGTGACCAGGGGCGCCACTGAGGCCGCTGTGGACTCAGCGCCTTGCACACACGGGCGAGGGAAGCCTCTCCCGCCTCCTCGGCATCACACTGTGTCCCGCACGGGCCTCGGCAGGCGGGGGACCCCGGGCGGAATCCCACCGTCCCTCGTGAGACGTTACGTCGCCTTTTTTTTATGGCAATGAGGAAGCAGCAGAGCTGGTCAGGCTGTCACCTCCCCGCCCGGCCCCTGAGGAGCTAACCAGCTCTGCTCCTGAGAAGCCACCCGCCTGCCACCGCAGCCCTGCTGTCTGATGTCCCACGCTAGGTCCCCGAAGCGCCCGGCACGGCCGCAGGCAGGAGCTCTGGGCCTCCGCCGGGCTTCTCCGCAGAGGAGAGGAAGTGGGTTCTGAGCCCGCGTCCCTTCTGGGCCGTGGTCTGGCTGCCCGTGTCCCACGCGGTGGCCGGCGCCGCGGGTCTGGGGGCCGGCGTGCGTGGGGTCCTGAGCGGGGTTTGTGCTTACGCGTGGGGGGTTTCGGGCGGGTCGCCGACGACGCTGCGGTAAAACCGTGGCTGACGTCTCGTCGCCGACGACGCTGTGGTAAAACCGTGGCTGACGTCTCGTCTCCGTTTTCATTTATCCCACAGCCAGAACTGCGTGGACGCGTACCCCACGTTCCTCGTTGTCCTCTGGGGCGCGGGGCTCCTGTGCAGCCAAGGTGAGGTGTTCCTCTCTGTGCGCTCCCTCCTCGAACCGGGCCTCGGTCTCACGGAGGCTGCGGTGCAGGCTCCCTGTCGAAAGGCTTTGCCTGGCCTCCAGCTCCGGTCTGGGAAGCCCTGGAGAGGTGACAGACTCAGGGCCACATGTCGGGGGGCTCTGTGCCCGCCAAGCGGTGCGGTAACGCGTGGCCGATGCTCGCTCCCTGAGGGCTGGTCGAGAGCGGCCACCCCAACAGGGCTGGTTTAAGGCTAACGGTGACTCAGAACCCGTAAGCCGCGTCCTTACGCAGAGACGAGGGTGTTATAAACGAGAGCTCCAGAGGGACCCACTCCGCGCCCGCTGTCCTGTCCAGCCCGGCGGTCCTCCCTCAGGCCTGCGTCCGCAGAGCCACAGCTGGATTCCAAGTGTCCAGCTTTCCCTGGGTTGTCAGCCGCCCACAGTCTGGACTTCTGCCAGCTGACACCCAGCGTGCATTTAAAATTAAATGGAAACCAGACTCAAATTTTTAGGTCCCCTTTGGAGATTGGCACGATGTCTGGTGGAGGCTTGGCGTGACCTGGCCGGAGTCCACGCCGTGGCCTAGCAGGCCGCAGCAGAAAGGCCACGAGGGTTCTCTGACGAACCGTGTAACCCTCATCATCTTCTCCCACGTTGTAAAGCAGGCAGACTGCATATTCTGTCCCCCGCCATGATCTCTGAGTTCACTTGGGTTCAGGGTGATAAGGGAGTATGTTCAAGGTCACTCAGCTGGTGAGTAACGAACCAGGATGACAGCCCAGGTGGTTTGGGCTACATTTTGGATTTTTCACCAGTAGCCTTCTACTTCATCCTTTATATAATCCATGTTCATCGAACGCCTCCTCTGTGATAAGCCCTGTGCCTGGATGCACAGTGGGGCATAGAGAAGGTGGTAAGGCACAGGGCGGTTGGTGG